TAGCGATGGCTTCAAACCTAATAAACAGCGATGGCCTCCAACCTAATAGCGATGGCGTCCAACCTAATATAGCGATGGCCTCCAACCTAATGGCGCGATGGCCTCCAACCTAATAGCGATGGCTTCCAGCTAGTAGGTATTGGCCCATATTGGCTACGCTCTCAAGCCACATTCACTCTCAAAGAGCTGTCTGTGAAGCTTCTAAACAAAGGATGGACACCTCACCTTCCTCCAACAAAAGCGCTGAACACCAACTGGACACGGTTTGACTCAACCTTGCACTCAGTAAGGCCCTCACACAAACTCGCTCTGCGGCCTTAGTGCCTGCGAAGCTGGGCACAACTGATACATGATGTTCCAAAATCTCCAAAAGAAGAGAATCCAAGGGGTTGGTCCAGCACCGATCCAATCTGCACTGATGTTCACTAAGACCATTTTAAAAAAATCAAGCTTCTACTGCTCTGGCAAGTTGGACAAACTCACCACACACTTCTAACTTTTCTCCCCGAGGCCTAGAATCAAGGATTGCATTGCTGCCTTGGTTGCCGTTGACTGCAACTTCTGGCCGACAGGAGTCAAACGAAATCAGCAAATCAACCAACACGTTCTTCGAATCGATCGAGCCTAGTAACAAGAAGCTATTAGAAACAAGTGCCACGCTAGTAGTAACAGGTGCCTTACTAGTAGTAACAAGAAGCTACTAGCGTCCTACCCCGCACGAAACTTCGGAAAGCCCAAAGACACCGATTCGGTGCGTTCGAAAGCCGCAGGGTGAGTGTCCTGAAAGTCCCTGCCAACTGCCAACTGCCAGAAAGAACTCAGGAGGTTTTGTTCCAGGAAGCTAGTGGAGTTGTTCTTGACCCGTGGTGAGATTCCAGGCACCGCTGCTGGCGGCTTTCGAACAGCTGGAAAGAGAAAGCCAGAAAATCAGGTGCCATGAACAACTGCGGAAGCCGACGTTAGCCCTTATGAAGATTCACAAAAAAAAAAACACACAAGGGCGATGTTTGGGACCATAACAGATAACAGGTGGTTTATGGGCACCCGTTGTCACCAGGAAACACCTGTCGAAAGATCCATGTACTATATGTGATCTCAAGCTCGAACGTGATGCAAAACCATGCCCAACCAAAAACACAAGACACAAAAAAAAGGAGATGTCACACCATGTAACACCAAGCAGCAAACATTGAATGCACAAACTGCGTCTTGGAAGTCAAGTGTTTGACAATCGCAAAAGGCCAAAATACAAGCAACAAAAAACAGTAGATACATAGCAATACTATACAATATTAATAGAAATAATAAGCAATATATACTGGGTACGAAAAAAGTTTTTCGTAGCGATATTATGGACTATTGATAGACATAATAAGCAATACGTGGTACGAAAAATGCTTTTTCATAGCAAGATTATGCAATATTAATAGAAATGATAAGCAATACTGAGTATCCTGATATCTTGACACACGCAACACGCAAAATCGGTGGTTCCACCTAGGGACTGAGTGAAGTGAAGTGCAGTCAGGTTGGTACTTGTGTTTTCACGTCAACCAACTTCAACACAAGAAAGAAAGATCAAACACTCGATGGACATCTGTGGACATGAACTCTGGAGCGGCTTCTTCGCGAGTGTTGGGACTCAAAGTCCAAGGTACCAGCAAGCCTTCCATGTGACGACCGTCTCCGGACAAAGCGACGTGCACATCACGTGCCTGAACAGCTTGTGCCCAAGCGAGGCTGTGAGACAAGCATAATCCCGTCTTCAAAACGAGAATCTGAGAGTCTCGAGAGGCACTGGGACTAATTTAAGTACTGTCATTGTGGGGTAGTCCAGACCTATATGACCTATTCCATGCCCAGAACCACAACAATGCTGATTCACATTCAACCGTTGAATATCCTAGAATTGTTGAATCAGCTTTAACAGTTAGTTAAAGACCTGCAGTAGACTATACGTCATTTACTTTGGAAGCCATTCTACCCTGGTACTACCACCATGTTGCCCAATTCCATCCAGTAGAACTACGCATGTATGTCCATAACTTGAAGCCCAACTGCCAACCCCCACCAGCTGTTGCTTTCCGTACTACGATCGTTGGCACAAACCCCATGGGGGTCCATATACGTAAACCTCCCTGTGGGGCTTGTGCCATCTACTCTCAAACCACTAAGTCACTATGAATTTGACACTCCTTTTTGGAAACGCACACACTCAACGCATCGCCAGCATCAGCACCTCACATGCTCGCGAGATCGTTTGGATGTTGCCATCCTGGAGGTTTTTGGGCGGTGTGCTCAGTGACTCAGGAGCCAAACAAGGATAACTTGCTATGACTTGAGGTGTTGATTTCGTTGCTAACCATCATGTTTGAAGCCGACACTGTGAAATGAGCTGTGGACATGTGAAAAAAACAGACTCCCAGCGGATCAAATTGGCCCCAGCAAATCCCAAATCCTGGTTTTGCCAGGATGATCTCCTTACCCCCCCCTCCCATCCAAGAGTGATCCTGCGGATCCCTCTGTTTACTTGGCAGAAAACACCGGACCGGTCCTAGAGGTCCCCGAAACTCGGACGAAAAGGCGATTCGACGAAGGAAGAGCATCAACAGTTGTAGTTCTTTGAAATGGACAGTCTACAAAGAAGAAGCTATTAGAAACAAGTGCATCGCTTCTAGTAACAAGTGCCTTACTAGTAGTAACAAGAAGCTAGTAGAAACAACTACAGAAAACCCTCCAGGTCTTTGAGATTCCTTGACTAGGCGCACAGAAGAAGGATTGACCTTTCCTGGGCACCACCCGCGCCTTTGGCTTTGCCACATCGCTCGACCTCAAAGCTATCACTTTGGGGGACCAAAAGGCCATGAGTCGATCAGTGTCGAAGAAATCCCGCTGCTTCTTCTGTCCAAAAAGCAACGTTCAACTGGCCTGGATCGACCGGCACGGCGGCAGTGGAGTCTCAAACTGACCAACCCGTCCTCCCAACCGAAAGCTCAGTGTCAGGCGACGGGTGCTGAAAACCACCAGGCTGATGTAGGCCAGCTGCCTTAGATTGAACAAATCTTGATGTAAAGACTTTGGGTTTTTCCTGGAGGGTCCCCCACTTGAGCCACACTCTGGCCATCTCCCTCCCTCCCGGTCTCTCTCTCTCTCTCTTTTGCTTGAGGAAAACCAACTGATAGTCCACAGCAGTTGCTTCTCCGAGCCCCCAAATAAAGCCCCTAAGCCTTGCACAGGTCTCAAGACAGGAGACATATACCTCATTTGATCAGCTTGGAAGGCATAGTTTTCCAGTTTTGACTCCTTCAAAAACGTCCGAGACGGCGACTGTGGCGGGGTCCGAAGCTGTTCGGAGGGCAACTTCACCCTTTCGTTCGCCTGCCAGACACAGAGCTTGGCAGAACCAACCGAAAGTTCAGAATCTTAAATCTGAAGAACCAGATGAAAGCATATGAAAACCATTGAAGCTGCTACACCACTCAATTTCAGTTAACATCGTTCACGTCTATTGTGCTTCGCCCCCGCCTCCACCCGCCGAAGGACGCCCCAGAAGGGCCACTCAGACATCATCTGTTCGAAGACCGTCACATTGCGCCCCACCTCAGAGGTGGAACCGGAGGAGGCCAGGGATTTGTTAAAAAAGGAAAACAGGAGAAGAAGCCGTGGGTAGAGACCCGAGAAAGGTGAGCCTTTTTGGAGTTCCACTTCTCTCCCCCACTTCGAACGTCCTGGGCCCTGGGGCAGCACATCGATCGAGTTGCGCCTCGCCCAACGCCATGAAATCCTTCGCGGCCTGGTTCCGGACACGGCGACAACCACGTGCCCTTCGTGTGGCGTTCCCATGGGACTGAATGGCGGGTGCAGGTGTTGCCCCGAGTCGAGGAAGGGGAGACCCAAAGGCGAAGGAATTCGGACGGTGCTCCGAATCGAACCTCTCGCACCTCAGAACCTCGGTAGGTGAGTGGAGTGAGTCCCATGTCGGCTTCACTGAAGCTGACACACTGAGCCCTTCGGTGAAGCTGAAGCTCAAGAACACCGTGTTGCACCGTGGGTCACTCAGTGTCTGAAGACTTGACGGTGTTATCTTTTGACAGTGTTTCTGTGAAATACAGGTGGGTATGCTGTCTAGCCACACACCAAAAACTATGGGTCGCATGGCAAGTACCTGCCATCTGGTATCTTCCTGGAGGTGATGGAACTCAAATGAACAGACTCCATGCTTACAGTACGGGACCTACTGTTAATGGAAGAAATCCTGCACCACTGTTGAAGATTATCTATATCTCATACCCTCACGCTCCACTTGTTTCCTTTCTTTCTCCGGCATCAAAACCTGCAAAGGTCCCTTTGACGAAAATCCTGCCCTACCTGCCTGCACGACGGAACATTGAATAGGGGTGCGGGGCTGCTGGTCTGTGAGGTGTGGGTGAGTTATGTATCAAAGCCGTGCAGGATTTCCTCCCTCAACCGTATGCTACTGGGTCCGTCAACAAAGTCTGCAACATAGAAATATGTCAGGTTTCATCAAAGGATAGTGACATTGAACCAGAAAAATAGAAAATAATAGAAGTATAGACATGTATAGACCTACCATGTCTGCACCAAATAAGCCCTCAAAGGGCAATTGCCAGGCCTGCGTCAGCACGTTGGAATCGACCAAAAGCAAACGCTCCTTGGGCGTGATACATGTGGAATCTGTTTTTGCGTTTTTGCTTTCTGAATCACTGTCGCAGGATGATAAAAATAAACTATCAGGGGGACTGTGCCTTGCATCTTTCTTGCGTGTTCAGAGTTCTAGTGCGAGAGGATCTCTTGACTCCTAACCTGAGATGTTGTCTCAGTGTACAGTACATGCTCAGAGTTGAGATAAGCAAGTACAAAATAGAGACCAATGTTTTGGATATATAGTTTTGTATATATATATGTGTATATATAAACATATAATGCTTTATGTAATCCTGCATGTTTGATCTCCCAGAATGGAGAACGTCAGATTAACGGACCGGCGAACGGCAAACGCGACCCGAGGACTCTGTCCCGACCATCTCCAAGTCAGGTGCTTTTTGAGGGAACCGGATGACTCGAGAGGTGGGTGTGAATCAGTTCGACACATATATAGCAAGAACAAAATTCCGTACATGTGGAGGCTGGTCTGGTCTCCCATGCGGACCCACATGCGGGCAAGACTGGGAATCGAAACCGAACAACACTTCTAAACCCAACGGGGGCAACCGTTGCGGACTCCCTCAGTTTCCCTTGAAGTGAAAGTTAAACCTCCTCTTGGATGTGTAGTTTGTTGGGAAACCAAACCAAAACATGGTGTTTTCCTGGCTGGATATAGGCCTTCCCCAGCGGGCCCGCCCGCAAAACCCGATACGACCCCAGGCACCGCGAGCACCAGAAAGGCGGTGGCCTTGCCGAAGGAGCAGCCCGGCCACGTCTTGGACAAGAACCTGCTTCGGCTTCGACTGTTCGTTTGAGAACGTGTTTCGATGTTTAGGTTTCAGACTTTTGTCCCATGGGGTGGGTTCCACATGGTTCCACTCCCAGGTACTAAGATCAAACAAAAATCAACGCAACCAGGGAGACATGGAGAAAATCGAAGCTTCAGACTCGGTTGGAGTCCAGGGATGTTTCAGGTCCATGGTGACGACAGCTCGACCACCAAGAACCCTCAAGAACCCGTTCGAAAGCATGCTGTTTGGAACTCAGCCTTCCGACCCGTTCAATGCTCGAGACAAGGGAGAGAACACGTTCGGCCAGACAGCCGCCGCGTGGGGGAGAAGATGTACATGGGAACACAAGATGACCACATACATTGAATTTATACACAATTGTGGCCGCAATTGGCGGTATCTCGCAAATGGTGTAATGTAAATACTCGTGGGTGAATCACTGTGCATTTGGGTACAGTTCAATGTCAATTGAATATCATTACAGCGTTTCGCGAAAGAGAGTTTCTGGTACAGCTTCCATAATGATGGTGGTGGGTGGTTCAAAAGGCAAATCAAGCGGTTCAGTTCATTAGCATGTAAAGGTGCATGTAATATATATATATATATGTTTTAGTTTGTCAACTAAGGCTTCCAATGTGTGCATGTTGGCTCCTGAGTTAGGCGAAATTGAGCGAGAAGAGATTCGGGATATATGTTTGATGCTGAAACCTATAATGGCCAAGGTAACTTGGAATCAAGCGCTACTTACAGCGTGTTTGAAGCGACACCACAAGCACTTGAAGTGTTTCCGCTTGTCAGCGAAAGCCTCGATGTGCTGGTGGCGACAAAAGGACCTGAATTTAAATTGATGTCTGTGTGTTGGGTCCTTTGTATTCCTAACCCATCAAGGACAGAAACATGAGCACCGCCATCTCCTCCGAACAGAACTACGTGGCAATCTATGTCCATACCAGAACACCCCGAGGGATGCCAAGTGGTGGTTAGGTGTCCATTGACTGCTGGGGGGGTTGCTAGGTATAAGATGGCATAAGATGGTATAAGATGGTATAAGGTATACGGTATACACCATATATACACGTGTCTACACTATTCTACACTCACGCGTCTACTCTGTTCCGTTCCCAGAAAAATGTCCACCGAACGGGGGGATCGACGAAGGGTCTTACGACGGTTTGGACCACGGTTTGGTCTCCCGTTTGGAGCTTTCAGGATCGGCCCTTTGAAAAAGAGTGAAACATGATGAAAGCTCTGGGGAGATCAGATGAGATCAAATGAGATCAGTGTTCATGTGTTGTCATGATTGTCATCGCGTTCCATCTCATGCGTCTTTTTGGTTTGTGCATGTTCCCTCCCACCTGATGGCTGTGTAGGAGGGCAGAGGAGCTCCAGTCGCCAACTGCTTCTCCAAGATCTCTTGAAACCTCCCATCCACGCCGCCATCGGCGTCCCATCGCGCACCGTCCGAGGGGACTGCGGGGACGCTCTGATTCCAGAAGAGTTCCCAGGCCTCGGAGGTGTCTCGCACTTGTGCTCCAACGATCTCCAACAAGCCAAAGATGGGCCAACGGCTGTGGATGGTATCCCAGTAAGACAAAGGGATCTGATCCCAGAGCGGAACGCTCCCAAACAACGTGTGCATCAGTGCCTTGAGCCTCTTTTCGGGGCTCATGAAGATCATCGCCAGATAGCCCAAGCAGCACAAGCCAATGTAGCAGTCAGTCTGTGTTCGGCCCAGTGCCAGCAGTGAACCCAACCAAGGGTGTGGCTCGGACGGATTCACCAGGAACTCAAAGAGTCGCTTCCGCACCTCGCTCCAATCCACGCCATCCTCGTAGCTGTCGCAGTTCAGATCCAATTCGCTCGCATGCTTCTCCGCCACGACGGCCGGAGAAGGTGTGGAGCCGGCCACGACCGCCCAACACGTGGCCCAGGTGGCCCAGGTGGCCAAGTGCGCGTTGCTGGCATGGAGGCTTCTCATCGTTCGCTCTTCTCGCAGATTCGCTCTTCTCACAGGAACCCCTTAGGAACCCTTAAGTCATCAATTTTAGAGCACCTTCCATTGCAAAAACTGTGCCCTTGCAAAGGAAGCCGTTTTCGACCCGTGCGCTTGAGCCACGTGGGTCGGAAAAAAAACATGCAGTCCACGAACCATCTTTAGGTCCACGAACAATCGTGGTGCAGCCCATCCTAAGTGTTGGTCCGAGAACAGTTGCATGATCATGAACCAGAGAGAGAGAGAGAGAGAGAGAGATTGACCCGAGAACAACGACCCGGCCACACAAAGTTGCATACGTCGCATCATGTCGCATCCACTTTTTCCTGCAAACGCAGCACATTCCAGGCGGATCTGACCAACAGGTGTTGATCCTTGGAGTATGTATCTAAAATAAGCTGCCTGTCTAACTTGCAAAAAAACAATATGCATTGTTCCTGAAGTTGTTTGAGTGCCCATGCAAACCGTCAAGACCTCAGATCCGCCACTGCTAAGTGCTGACAAGCCTTCGACTAGTCTGCACCAGGCTCATTGTGCAACATACAAGGGGTCCCCAGCGTAACCGCAGAACATGTGTCGTACACGTTTTGGCACAAACCACTCTTACGGTTCCTAATTATGGTTCCTCAACCCCCATTGTAGCTGTCACAAGTTCCCGCAGGCGATTCATGAAAACACCAGCTCCAAACATTGACACCTTAAGGAATACGGCCTCAAACATTGGCTCCCTCAGACACTTGATAAAACCAGCGCTCGCCACCAGGACGTTGGAGTTCAAGCTCACAGTTTCGCAAGCTGTAACAACTCCAGTTGTAAATTGAGCAATAACATGGACCTGGCAGTTTTGCAGTCCTTAGGGTCAGCAGCTACTTCTGCAGCTGCATCTGAAGCTACCGCAGAGCAAACAACGTCTGCACCTCTTGGAACGCTGAACGTTGCTGGGAATCGATGGCTCGCTCAACCTCACCAAGACAAATCAAAGTCATGAAGAACAAGCAGAGATTACTGGATGGATGATCTCTTCCAATATCTTCTGATGAATTCTTATACAAACCTAGTACGTCTTGTGATACGACCCCATCAGTTGTACTGAGTGCCCACGCGTGCCGAAAGAGAACCCTTGTTGGCACGAACCATCGCAACAGCATCCAGCTCATCCAGTGCCTCTTCAGATGGCGACGGCTTAGTGGTCCAAGCTTCTACTCCAAAACGTTTTTGTGCTGAAATGTCCACCATGTCTGTGATAGATAGACGGCCTCAACTTGGTCATCTCAGACATCTCCATTGCTTTGGGGCCATCCAAGAATCCTTCCAAACCAGTTTGAATTAATGTCATAAGCCACGACTGAATGGGCAGATCAACTGACAGAGGTGCACGTCCGGAGGAATCCACTGGCAAGTTACGTTCCACGGAGTGTAGAACACCCCGTAGTTCTGCTCTCAAAACCCAAGATGCGGTGGTTTGCCCCACCAAAAAAAGGAACACGCGCCGAACTCCGCCCGTTGGCCTCCTCGCCGTCCTTGGCCAAAAGTTACAGCGACCAGGCATGCGAACAGATTAAAAAGCGAAGATCGGTTCTGTTTGGGCTGCAAAACGGCTTAAAGTCTCAAAACTATTCAAAACTAAGGACTCACCCTGAGCTCTGCACCCCTGGAATCCCCTAGATCACTGCCCAATGTCTGCCTCCTTGAGGGTGGACTCTCTTTGGATCTCTTTGGTTACGCTCTGCTCGGCGGTTCCGCGACGGTCGCTGAGAAGCCGCACCAAGAGGAGTTTACCCTCCTCAGTGACCTTCAAACGATCGGCCTCAGATCGGTCAGCCTTCGGGCCTTCGGCTCCGATGCGAAAGACATGGAGAGTGTATATCGCTAGTAGTAACAAGTGCATCGCTAGTAGTAACAAGTGCCTTACTAGTAGTAACAAGAAGCTATTAGAAACAAGAAGCGACTAGTAACAAGTGAAAATCCAAACATCCAACGGAAAAAGATCCAAACATCTCGTCATCGACGGTCATCGGCTTGGCGGGACGACGACCCTCGGAGGTCCAAGACGATTGCAAAATGTTTGGTCGTAGTAGTAGGTGACCTGCAGTTTCCAAACATATCCCCAAATAGTCCTTGGACTTCATCCGGGTTGACGGTGTTTGGGATGCTCCATGACTTCTGATGACCCAACAAGTGCGACAGCAACCGAGCTGGCGATCAGCCGCTGGCGATCCCGGCGATGCGACGATAGTCGCCGTTCGTCTCACGGTAGAGCTGCCGGTGGAGTTTCTCCTGCACAACCAGCTGCCACACCATGAGTGAGTTTAGAAGGGGCAGGATCCAACTACTGTTGGTAGAAGAGTGGACTTGACATAGTGTCAATTCTCAGTTTGGCCTTCATTTTTTACCATTTATCTGCAGTCAGCACTTTACGGGGGATCCAGGGTCCTTGATGACAAGCTCCAGAGTCGTCGAGGAGGAGTTGTCCTTGGCGTTCACGGATCACATGGGTCACGCAAAGACTTTTGTGTTTGGAGTACAAACCTGGCTGACCCTGAAACAGGGGTTTGTGTTTGTGTTTGGAAACAGGAGCTGGTCGAAACTTGGAGCACAGCATTTCCTGTTTCCAAACCTGGCCGACTCCGCTTCGACGGTCGAACTCGCAGTCGGACACTGAGATTGTCACGTAGGCGGAGACAAACAAATTTCTGCCTTGGGTGGTCAGCATCTCGATTCATGTTCTGCCAGCTTCACCGATATAAAATTGGGAGGCGGCTAGTATCTGCAAGCTAGTTGGTGTCATGATGTGTCATGTCAAATCACGCAGAACACACACACACACACACACCGAATCACACAAACATACACCAAAGCCAACAGCAGCCAATGCGCCATCCGTCGACATATCCACCAAGTAGTAGGTGTCGCTGAGTTTCATTCCTTCCTGACCGATCGGCGCATTGAGCCGACGAAGCCAGTGAGAGCAGTCGGGCAAAAAAAGGTGTAGAGCGCTGCAAAAAAGGGGCAGAAGGCGGGGCATGTCCCTTCCCACGCCAGCACGAAGCCAAAGGATGGGCCAAGTGTTCTTCGATATCTACCTTGAAGTGCCATCAGAACAAGGAAACGCCACAGTAACGCTGCCAACAAGTATGAAGCCAGCTGGCATGGTGCGGCCAACAGGGTCGTGCATGTGTCTTTCCACCACCCAGGACCCGAATTTGGATATGTTCCGGTGCCTTCAAAACATACTTCTGGTTTGCTCCTTCTGCCAGGTCCTGCGCAGTTCAAGGATTGCAACATCTGTGCGTGTTTAAAGTTAGTGTAGTCTCAAATCACATGATAGCGTGCCACATCCCTTGTTTTCAGTTCAGAGGTCTTAGCGAAATAACCCAAACATATGGTTGCAAATATGCTGCATCACCTTGTTCAGTATATTGCAGCGTTATAATGTAGCTTGTAGAAGCTTATGAGTCAAATGGGCATCCTCCACAAAAAGGAGCACTTCTCACCTTCTCAAGCTCGTCTTGCGTCCCGAGTTCGGGTCCAAGATTGCTTTTCCCAAAGACACTCTTCTCAAAAACTGGAAATGTAGACCCCGCAAACCCAGCAATTCCGAAACCAAATAGACTGACTAACGGTCCGCAGATCGATTCTCATGTTGACCCGGCCCGCGTTTCGAGATCACTGGCAAACCGGTCCGTGAAACACCTGGATTCACTCGCTTTTGGTTCTGCCTGTGAAACACCTGGAAATCGTAAAAATCGACACTTGCGGAGAGTAGCCAACCGTGACCAACCGTTTTGGGTGCCTTCACAGTTGATCGTTCCTTCTCCTGTCTCCCGTACTGCCGTACTGCCGTACTCTGAGATGCCAAAAGGTGCAGGGTGAATTTCAGCAAGAGTGGCCACACAATACCAGATAGTTTTAAACAAGGGTCAACTCCCAAAGGACCAAAAACATACAAGCTCTTAGACTCTATGTTCGCTATTAGGTTGGAGGCCATCGCTATTAGGTTGGAGGTCATTCCTGCTAGTATTAGTATTAGTAACTCAAAAGAATACTTTTTTAACCTACAGTCTCTTAGACTCTCGGTTCTTTCAACCTCGGTGTAGGGCCATTCGACTCATTTGCTTCCTCGTCTGCTCCCTCTGTCGCCTCGACCTTTCTTTCCGAACACATTCCTCCCCACGACTGAAAAAGCCCCCACCTTGGGAGGAGCTCTGCTGGTGGACGGAGCCGAACGCGATGTCATGGCCCCTTCCTCCTCCTGTCGCCCGGCACCCGGCGGACGACTCTCTGTGATGGTGATGAGTCATGGCACCCAAAAAGCAGCTTGTTAAAGTTATGAGAAAAAGACATCGACCTACGAAGGACCTATTATTCACTTTGCACCGTCCGTGGTTTTGAACCCGTCCCCGCAAAGAAAAGGACTCCTCGCCCATGTTCACCAGCTCGCTGGAGACGAAGTCGCGTCCGCGCCTGGGAGTCCTGCGCGTCCCGGAGGGCTCTGGGCGGGTCGGCGGGCCGTGGGAGGGGTCTGCAGGAGGTGACCAGCTTACGGTGGTGATAGAACCTGTCAACTTACGGTGCAAAGACCTTCGTAGATGGCAAATGACTAGGCAAATGAAACACTGGGGGATGATGATACTAAACGTTGATGAAGGCAGGAAACCATAAGTTTGTCCAAGACACAACACGCTTATTATAGGACTTACAATAGGGCTTCCCGGGAAACCCACAAATGGAAATACTCCAATTGGCTAGGAGAACTACCTAAAGAACTTGCACAGCTGCAGCAGTTGTATGCACAAGAAGTCACATTGCACAACAGTTGCACCAGGCACATTGCAACAGTCGTTCAGGTCATCCAAGTCAGACATACCCAGCAAGCAGCGTCATCCTACCAAATGATAAAGAATGCTAGCACTCGTTCATCACTGGGGCCACCACTGGTTTGCCATGGTTTTCTCATCCAATATCAAATAGATCCATCTGACAGT